CAATATTTGGGAAGCGACTCATGGTCGGTTCCTGTTGACCTTTGCTGTAAAGTGGCTAGTGAAGCAGTAAATATTTTTGTGCGTGTGATAATACAGCTGTTCAGGGCAGAGATCTCCAAGGAGCAGATCTTATGATCTGGGCCAGAGCCTGGCATTCCATTGCTGGTGCTGGGCCTAGCACCAGGGTAGTTTATCTCAGGGCCAGAGCCTTTAATTGAAACAGAAAGGGCAGTCTTTTAGGACCTACTATGAGTATTAGGAGAAACAAACGTGTTCTGCTGTCAAGCTCCCCTTTTCACAAAGCTAGACTTCTGCCAGGGAAAAGCTGCTAGAGATGTGCTAGGCAAATGTGCTGGGAAGTCTGAGTTGCAGAATGACGAAGCTAGGTCAAGAGCCTGGTTAACATTCCCTGCTCAAAAACACTTTGGGAGAAGCTCCCAGCGTTAATAAACTCGTATAAGCTCTACCTATACTTACTCAGTTTGAGCACTGTCAGCCAGTAATGGGCCACTGCCAGGAGGGAACTGCTTCAGCTGCATTTGCTTTGTCAAATCCCCTCACAGTGCTGAAAGGATGTAGCAGTTAGTTAGCAGGACCAAAGACATTAAATGACATTCTGTTCTCCTTGTGTCCTGCCCCTGGGACAGTGGCCCAAGGGAGTGAACACTCAGAGCACTGATGACTGTTGCATTGTTGCCTCCTGCCCTGCCATGCAGCGAGAACCCTTTGCCGACGGTGGAAATTGCCATCCGCAACACAGGGGATGCTGACCAGTGGTGCCCTCTTCTGGAAACCCTCACAGATGCTGAGATGGAGAAGAAGATCAGAGACCAGGACAGAAATACAAGGTGCTGCCTCTTGTTCAGACAGTTCTGTTTCTGGCTTGTTTTTAAGACAGAAGTTAAAAGCTTTGATGTTTTGTCTTTTTCTGCTGAGAGCCAGCTGGCAGGATTTCAAACTCATACACCACAACAGAAAATCATATCCCTTTTGCCTCAGGATATTAAACTGCTATCACCTCACTCCCCAAACATTTAAATCTTCATTTTAACTATCTCCTACTTGAAACAAAGGTTGTTTTGTTTTTGTTTTTCCTTTCTCTTGAGTTCCCTGTTTATGCAGGGGGATCTGTTTCTATAGGAAGGCATTCATCAAAAACACCAGTGCTTTGTGCACTGTCATGCTAGCTAGAATACTGCCACAAGGGCTTTCTTTTATGTTGAGTAAAGTGCTGCTTGATGTAGGAATGGGCAAGCTCCCAGCTGCAGCCTGACTGAGGGCTGCACTCTTGTGATTCCAAGAGCAGCTCTGCTGGCTCTGGAGAGCCACTGAGCACTATCCCCACAAGCTGCCATGAGCACTTGTGCTTGCTGGGTGAGATTGCTCCTGCCAGGCAGGAATGAACTGCTGAAGTCTTTCTGCCAGCAGTGTGGGAATAGTAAATATGCTGACTCAGCTCTTTCCTGAGAATTCTGTTACCGTAGATTAACAGATTCAGAATAATTTTGTTTCTCAGCGAATGCTGTTTGAATGGCTCACAGGAGGATTGATTCAGTCCAAGTTAATGACCACAATTTCCACAAAAGTAGTTGCAGAAATTCACTGTATCACAGCATTATCAACAGGGGACTCAAGTGACCCTGGACCCCTGTCTAGGCAATAAATAATAACTCTTAGAAGTGCAGTCTCCTCCCCAAAAGTGTCAATTTCTGCAAGACTTTACTAGACTGTTAACACAGCACTAACTACACCTTTCTCTCCTAGGCGCATGAGACGTTTGGCCAATACTGCTCCAGCCTGGTAATCCTCCTCTTGTGACACTGGTGCTCTTCCTACAGACTCTGTCCCTATTCCTCTCCCTGATGGATCTAGGATTGGCAGGGGTCTCTGTCCCCAAGACGGGAGGACACATTCCACTTGCCAGGCAGTTCCCAGTACTGCTGCCTTCTGCCCCATCCCCTCCATCTAAATGCCACGTACCAGGAATGCTGCGTTAGCTCATGATCTGAGATTGTGGCAGCTGTTGGAGCCCTAACATGCCTGTGTGTGGACAGTGTAAAGATTCTTTTGTATAGGTGCAACATGCACTGTTAGGACAACTTTTTAAATAAAAGGAATGTATACTACTTTGGTTGAGTTCAGTAAGTTAAAGGAGTATCAAATCTTACCCTGGTTCTTGCTCTTCTGGAAATTAAACAAGTCCCAAGGCCTAATGCTAATGGTTTTGGGTATCTGCCTGCATTCAGTTGTTCTAAGGCATGGTAGAAACTGAGCCCTGGCCTGGAGGGAGTAGAATGGGCAGCAAGCATTTTGTTGCAGGGGGCAAGTGGGAACAGTGAGACATAAGAGTAGAAAGGAACAAACTGTTCTCTGCAAACTATGGGTCTAGATTGTTGCCACAGTGCGTGCTGTAATTTAATGCAGTGAGGTGCTCAGCTGGATAACCTGAATGAGGTTAACAGCTCATGACTGGTTAAACTTGGTATTTACACATATCAAATGTGAACCTTCCACATGTCATGTTTGCAGGCTTTCTCTGAAAAAATGTGGCTGGGGAACAAAGTCTCCAAATTGGTACAAAAATTACTGCCTGCAATAACTTACTGAGACTGTTCTTCTGCAATAGCCTTGCTGGGGTCCTGGTCAGACCACAGGGTGTTAGAGAGCAGTCAGTTACAGGGCTCAGAACTAACCCTACCTGACCACAGCCTGTGGGCTTAAAGACCCCGAGTACAGCAATGTCAGCCTTTTGTGACTCTAGAAACAACCTGTCTTTCTCTGGCGAGTTTACAAACAGAAAAGTCACTGAAGGGAGATTAAAAAGTTTAAGCTTGCTTAAAAAAAATAATTAGAATGTACCCTGCTGCAGAGGTGCAATGGCTCTTTGATAGAGTTCCTACCTTTCCTGCCAGGAACTGGAGAGCGGTGCAAGCACGGCAGATTTTGCTGGCAGCCCAACAGTTGTGTTCAGGCCCTTATGATAAAGGCAATAGGTTTTACAGTCCTTGCTCAGCCACCCACACTGCTAGCACAGTCAAAAAAAAAAAAAAAAAAAAAAACACATTCTGGTCTTAATTTATCATGTTTAGGCTTGAGTAATAGCAGAGCCCATCTGATTCCTGAGTGGGAGGGAACTTTCTTCCAGATGTTATTCTGCAGAAATCTAAAACTTGCAATTTAGCAATAATATTACTGCAGTCTTTTCCTTAGGCTCCTGTGCTAGAGTGGTTCTCTAGTGGTTCTCTAACAAAGATTGAAAGGTCATTTCAATACCTGAGCAACAAAAACCTAGGCTTCCTGCTGCATCTTAAGTCTCTGTTGCAGGACATGTTTTGTCTTGCGGCTATAAAGACTCCAGCTCTTCCCAAGAACACTTCAGGCTGTTTTTGTTATTGAACAGGTGTTTTGCATGCAGCTTCTACAGGAAACATTATGAAAACATTAATGAAACTGCTTTTGACTTCCATCCATGCTGCTTTTCTTGAACTGCTGTGGAGGGTGCAGTTACTTAAAGTTCACAACAGGCATGATAAAGACACAGGAGGACTGCGCAGGCTTAGGATTATCTCCCTCAACTCTTGGGCCTCAGAGAAACTGTAGGAGTGGCCCCCTCCATGAAGCCAGAAGCAAAACAGGGACATCAAAGACTCCAAACTCCAGAAATATGAAGACTTCAGCTGGTTTCTCCAACTGCCAGAACTTACTTAATAGGAAATGGCTGGGGGTAGCTGTGCTGCCCCATATCCCCGCTTTTGAGCATGGGCTACCACCCTCCCACAAGGCATTCACAAGAGAATTAGGCACAGCTTTTGCATTTTCAAGCCATGCACTTCTCAAACAACTGAGAACAGATTCTGTGCAGACACAAAAGACAAACTCCTTTCAGGGCTTGAAACACCAGCTCTGCATTAGTAGGGCAGGAGCAAAGCACAGAGCAAGCACTTGAGTCTGAGGCTGCTTAGCCTCCGGTAGCACTGTATCTTCCAGAGTAAGATTAGCACCTATATTGTCCTTTCATCCTCGCCCTAGAGGGAAACATTAAGGGCAATAAAATAGCTTGTTCAGATGAACTCTGGTTTTTAATAAACAGTGCTTTCGTGGAAAGGCCCCAGGGGCTTTAGAAAGGGACAGCTGTGGTTTAGTCTTCCTTTGACACAAGGTTCCACCAGCACTTTCTTATGGTGGTTCTGGTAGTGACATTTTGCAAATGACAGAACAACAATATATGAGTTACCCTCAGAGTACAGTGTTACTTCCCTAGCTTTGAAGCCTGGTGTAGACAGACACGCACCCCTCTAGCAAGAATGGTCAACTCCATTAAGTAGTGCTGTTCATGCTGGGGACAAGCTTGGTAAGCTTCCCTCGAAATTCAGAGGTTTAATTTTTTTTTTTTTCTCCAAAAAAAGGGAAATTCAAGAGTGGAACTACACTGCTTGTTTAGAGAGCTTTTATTACCAGCTCTAAGTGCTATTTCTGGTCATGGACTAGAACAAGCTTTCAGCTTTGCTCCAGTCTGAACAATGACCTTTCTCCAATCACCCTTTTGCTCACAGGAGCAGGGAGGACATCGTCTGGCTACTCTGCCTTTTTCTTTTGTCCCCTTCAAAGCCTGGCACTTTTGAGGAAAGCCCTGATCAGTACTGGTGACTTGGCCCACACAGAAAGTGGTAACTGCCCTTGGCAGAAATGGACACATAACTGAAAAATAAAGATTTTAATATAAAGACTCTTTGGAAACAAAAAGGAGAGGAAGTGGGCTTTAGAGGAAAGGGAGAGGCTGAACTTCATTCTACTACGGTAGGTTTTGTTGGGGAAATCCAGTTGTGCCTGTACCACGCCAGGACATACTACCTGATTGAAAGCCCACTGATGCCCCCCAGCACTGCAAAGGGAGCATTAGTCTGTGCACAAACAGCAGAATTGACGTGATATAGTGAGAGTCAGTAACAGCATGGAAAGGAGGAAGCAGTTTAAGGCCCCACTCGATACTTACTCCCTGCTGGGTAAGTGAGGAACATCACATAGCTTCCAGCCCTGTCTCTAGAACACCTCGCTAAACACTCATCAGTTTTCATGTGCAAAGCTCTGTGGAGCCACCTGGTACAAGAGGAAGATGGGTTACCCATACAGACAGTGAAACATCACACATTAGAATGGCAACTGGTGTTATTCCAGTAGGACCTCTGGGGCACCACGTAAGTCCAGTGGGAAGAGAAGAATCTGGTCACTTGGAAAAGTCCTTTGCATTATTATGGCCGCTGCTGGTTCTGGTCTTGGGCTCCAGGTTGGTTTTCTGGCTGATCCTCAGGGAGAGGGTTATAATTGGGATCCTCTTCAGGTGTGTCAAATACCATCTTCCTGGCGAGGGACATGCCCATTCCACCGGGCAGGAATGTTAACGTAAGCCAAGGACAGTGAAAGCCTCCCCAGCCCACCCAGGAGCATCCTAGCCCTTCACAGTGCTTGTGTGCACATTGTTGAACTGCTTGTTCTGCTTTCTTAAGCCACACAAGTGCATTGGAGAGAGAGAATAAATTCTATCTGCATCTAACATTTTCTTAAAAACTCCACGTAGCAGACCTTAAAGTACTAGCAGCTACTTTCCGGGATTTACATACATATGTATATCGCGTACCAAATGCCAACATTTTCCACCATAGAGGCACAAACAGCTGCTACGTGCACAGAGCTGGGTCTTGGGGCTTAAGGGAGAAGGGAGTAGCAACAGCACAAGTAGCAGCCCAAGCAAGGTGACACAGCACAGTTTGCTGCAAGAGGGATCTGGTCTTGAAAGCAAGACAGCAAACCCCAGGGCAGCTGCTTTACTTACAGGAAGCCTGGGGTCAACAGCAACTTCTTTCCTCCCGGCTGGTTGGGGAAGACATCCTCCAGGAAGTAGTAGATGTGACCCACCGCAATCCCTGGGGAAGAGATGTCACCAAGGTCATACTTGACTCTGCCTCCTTTGCCTGATGAAGCCAAGTAGTTGGGAGCTTAAAGCACAGGGAAGCTCCAAGAATCCCTGAGCTATACCCATGTCCCAGCTCCCACCAGATCCACCAGTGCTGCAGAGCATTTGGTTGGCTGTAACCATGTTTTGCTCAGGTGCAGGAGCAGACACTGAGAATCTTTGGCCTCAAGGCAGGAGCAGGGGACAGCTATCAGGCAGGGCTCCCCATTCCCAACTTCTGCCCCCAGCAGAAAAAAAAGCAGCAAAATGCAGTTCACAAGCAGAAGCTCAGCCAGGAGGCTGGTGACACAGCAGAGACTCTGCCAACTCACTTTAAAAACTCACTACCTTAAATAAAACGAAATCCAGCCACGGTGCTAATGGTCCTGTACAGCTGTGGCTGTGAAGCAGACATTCCCAAAACCCACTGGCTTCAACTTACCCAGTAAGTCGATTATGATGGAATTACCCAGGAGCAGGGAGAAGCCCATCAGGACCCAAGGCAAGAAGGGGGCCTGGAAGTTCAGGAGCCCAAAAAAGTTCATGCGGATATAGGGATTCCTACGGCTCCACACATACACCAGCATGATGGTGAAAGCCTGGCCCAAGAAAAACAGGCTGGCAAAGAGGCCGAAGAGCTGGGAGCTACCGAGTCAAGGGGAACAGCATGCACCACCTCACAAGCTCCAGGCTGCGCGTGAGGTATCGCAACTGGGAACCCGCAGCGACAAGGGCCTGGTGACACCCACGTGTGCTTGAGCCAAGATGCACTGACCTCCTCCAACACCCACTTCCCTCCCTGCCACCCCAGAACAAGGCACCCCCGAGCACCACGTGCGTGCAGGTTGCTCATTCAGGAGTTGCCTTATGCAGCATGACAAGACAAGGAGCATGAGCTGTTCCACGCAGCCCAGAGTCACCCACCCAGCCCCCCAGCTCAGCGCAGTGCTCACAGGCACACAGGGCACGAGCCTGGCAGGCTTAGGGGAGCTGCAAGGTTATCCCTAGCCTGGGGTTTGGCAGCCAGCTGCTCTGTTCACTGGCCAGGTGCTTGTTATAGACAAGGCAAGCTGCATAGAAAGATGACAACATGTCAGAGAGGAGCCTAAAGGGCGCCCAGCAGCTCCAAAGGATACTGTCATGAGAAATCCTCCAAAGAGGAACATGAAGACAAAGTCAGCTGTCCTTCCTCGGAAGGAGCCTTCTTCTAGCATGCGGCAGTACCTGTACCTGAGAGCAGGAGAGAAGGAAGGGGTTGCAGTATAGGAAACTAACGGGCAGCTGCCCTGCATCCCCAGCGTGGCTAGAGGGGCAATGAGCCATCTGCAAGCAATGCCACCACAGGAAGCTGCCAGGCAGGAGCCCCAGCCCCAGAGGAGACCAGTGTGAGTTTCACCTCGTACCACAAGCCCCAGAGAAAGAAGGAACCACCTGCTATGCTTCAGCTGGCCAGGGCTTAGCCCAAGGAACATGCTCTGCCCTCCAGCATGAGCCACGGTGGCACTGCCAGCTTCTTCCCCTTTTCATCAGGGGCTGCCCTGCTGCTAGCAGAGGCACAGGAGGTGGCTATAGGCATGGCCAGAGTCACCTGCAGACTGGCTTCAGTTCAGAACAAGAGACCCCAGGGGAAAAGCATGGACTGCTGCCAAGAGAAGCCAACTAGAGAGAGGAAGATGGCAGTGAGGAGTCATGCCTAAGTTGAAATAAAATTAAAAAAAAAAAAGAGCAGAGAGCTTTGCTGAGACAAAGGATACAGAAATATCATGTTGAAAAAGAAACTGAATCCCAGGGGCCCAAAAAAAAGGAAGTTGGTGATCAGCCTCCATATCTGAAAGAGAAGAAAGAGGAGAGAAGAGGAGGTGGACAGCCAGGTACCTTCCCATCGCATTTACAGCAGCCCATCACCTATTCACTAGGGACACTAACTCACTAACCCCTTCACTCACAGACACCCCAGATACCAGACAGCTGCATCACTTCACATGGCACCTCTCTGACGAGGTACTCCCCACACCAGCATCACTTCTTGCGCTTCCAGGCGGGGAAGAAGTTTCCCTGCTTCTCTAGAAGGGGCTGACAGCCATGATTTGGCACCCAGAGTCCAGGTACACAACCTTTCACCGCTCTCCACAGCGGAGCCTTTCCCATGGCCAACACTTCACCCAGGGGCGCAAAGGAGGAAGGCACAGGTTGAGTGAAAGAGAAGAAGAAAGGTCTAGGTGGCCTATGGCCAGGCGAGGCTGGAGGAAGCCACCGCCACCCAGACTTCTGCAAAAGGGTCACGCTACGTCAGCACCTCAGCTCCATGGGAGATGAGGATGGAGCAGGCAGAAAGAGGGAACTCCTGGGTGCCAGATAGAACCACAGGAAGCAGCACACCCAGCCTGGCTCCTCACTGGGAAGGGGCAGAAGATGACAGCCCTGACCCAGGCAATGCCTCACCTGGAACTTCCTGAAGATGAGGTCAGGGTTGAAGTACAGCTGGAAGGGGGTGATGAACTCCAGTTGCTGCAAGAGACAGGCAGGACACTTGCCACCCACTGCAGCACACAGAGTGTCCCCTTGCCAAGGGGCCCCTGTGCTCAAAACCAACAAAACCTGCCAAGGTCCCTAGC